GATTAGGACGTGGTGGGAAGATAGTATGTATCTGGCCAGTTTGTGTGTGAAATGGTGGGTTAGGACGTGGTGGCAAGATAGTATGTATCTGGCCATTTTGTGTGTGAAATGGCGGGTTAGGACGTGGTGGCAAGATAGTATGTATCTGGCCATTTTGTGTGTGGAAGACCAGATGGATGGAAGGGCGATTGAGGTGGAAAAGGGGGGGCAAAGAGGGGCAAGAAAGAGGCAGAAAAGCGGGCGAAGAGGGGGCAAGAAAGAGGCAGAGAAGCGGGGCAGACGAGGGGCCTACCGAACGGTATGCAAGGGTCGGAAAAGGGGCACGGAAGACCAGATGGACGGAAGGGGGATGAAGGTAGAAAAAGGGGGCAGAAGACGGAGAGCTGAAGAGGGGCAAGAAAGGGGCAGAAAAGCGGCAGCAGGGGGGCAGCGAAGAGGTAGAAATTCGGCAGATGTAAGAAAGGCAGTTGAGGGGTGGGGAAGCCCCCAGATGGACGGAAGGACGAGAAGGGTGGGAAAAGGGGCAAAAAAAGGGCAAAAGAGGAAGAGCAGAAGAGGGGCAAGAAAGAGGTAGAAAAGCGGCAGAAGTGAGGCATCAATGAGGCAGAAGAGGGGCAAAAAAGAGGCAGAAAGGAGGCGGGAAAGCGGCAGGGAAGACCAGTTGGACCAATCGGCGATTAAGGTGGAAAGGGGGCAGAGGAGGGAGAGCAGGAGGGGGGCAAGAAAGAGTCAGAAAAGCGGAAGAGGGCAGAAGAGGGGCAAGAAAGAAAGAGGCAGAAACGCAGCATAAGAGGGGCAAGAAAGAGGCAGAAAAGAGGCGGAAACGGGGCATGGAGGAGGCAGAAAAGCGGCAGGACAGGGGCAGCAAAGAGGCCGAAATGCGACAGAAGAGGGGCATAAAAAGGGGAGAAATGCGGCGGAAGAAGAGGGGCAGCAAACAGGCAGAAGAGGGGCAAGAAAAAAGAAAGAGGCAGAAACGCAGCATAAGAGGGGCAAGAAAGATGCAGAAAAGAGGTGGAAACGGGGCAGGGAAGAGGCAGAAAAGCGGCAGGACAGGGGCAGCAAAGATGCCGAAATGCGACAGAAGAGGGGCATAAAAAGGGGAGAAATGCGGCGGAAGAAGAGGGGCAGCAAACAGGCAGAAGAGGGGCAGCGAAGGGGGAAAGGGGTCAGACAAAGTGGAGAAGAGAGGGTGTGAGACATCTGGACGAGGGGCAGCAAACAGGCAGAAGAGGGGCAGCGAAGGGGGAAAGGGGTCAGACAAAGTGGAGAAGAGGGTGTGAGACATCCGGACGAGAGAAGAACGGTGAAGAAGAGGGGGTGATGACACGGAAGGGCAGATCGGAGTCACACACAAAGTGATTGGGAGAACACAGTCAACCGGAGGAGAGAGAAGGGAGGAAGAGCAAGAGGGGATGAACAACGCCTATAGCGAAGGGTGACATCGTGACTAGTATGGTGAAATGCTCACTTATTTCTGAGCTTCAAGTGAATTTTGGAAAGTTCTCAGTCTTTAGAATGGGACGTTGGACCCTGTTTCTCAGTCTTTAGAGTTTAAAAGAGATATATTGTGAGCAGTCTTTAGAATTTTGGAAAGTTCTCAGTCTTTAGAATTTAAAAGAGATATATTTTGAGCAGTTGGTTACTCTGCGAGCTACGCTTGTAAGCGAAAGTGGCTGAGGCCGGCAGGATAACTCTGGGTCGAATTGTGAGGTTCCCGGCCTCATTCTTTGTTGAGCAATACAGATATATAAGCTTTTCAAAAGAAGGAAAAAAAAAAGACATCGTGACATTACATATGCTGTCAATTAATTAGGTGCAGTTGGTGGGGAAAACAAGTTTATGCTATCAATTAATTAGGTGCAGTTGGCGGGAAAAAGAACTGTATGCTGTCAATTAATTAGGTGCAGTTGGCGGGAAACAAGTTTATGCTATCCTTAGGTTTGTGCACACTATTTTTGGCGGGAAAGACGTCACTACTACACTATTGGCGGGAAAGAAGTCACTACTACACTATTATTGGCGGGAAAGAAGTCACTACTACACTATTGGCGGGAAAGAAGTCACTAGCGTGGTTAATGGGTACCCCCAATTTTCAGCTCCTGGCCAACGGGCCCAGAACTGAAATTAGGGTGTTGGGGGCGAAATTTTTGTGTTTCTGGGTTTTTTTTTTTTTTTTTTTTTTTCCTGTTTGTCGTCAAGGTTACTGTTTGCCAAATTTGTTTGGTGTCTTTTGGACCGTTCAAAATTCCTCTGTTTGACATTTCTGGAATTTCTGAAATTTCTGAAATTTCTGAAATTTCTGGAAGTTTTTTTGAAGTTAGTACAGTGTGGACTATGTATAGGTGGCAAATTTGATTAATTAAAAGGCCTTCGTGGGGTTTTCTCATAAATTGCATGACAGATTTCTGAAAATTCAGGCCTCCGTTAACCATCTTTCCTTTTATTGTGGTGGTAGCTCCCCTGCACAGCCTGCCGTTTTGCAGCAGGTCCATCAGATTGACGATCCGACGGCCACAGATTTTCTTCCCATCGTCTGCAGTGGTTGCCCTTTCATTTTTTATTTTTCTTTTGCGAATGCGATTTGCACCATTTCTCGAGTTGAGTGTGTCCTTCTTGCGCAAGGGCTATGGTAATTAATCTTCTGTATTGTTCCAAATTTTAACGGATGTTCTGAAGCATGTTGCCCTGATTTTTTTTATTAGAGAGGATGGCAAGTAGTGCAGCTAGACCCCCTTAGGCACGTTGGGTTTTCAGACCTGTATTCGTTTTCTCGAGCAGCGCCGTCGGGACTCTCCGCGCCGGTTGGCGCTGCCGGGAAAGGAATAGGCAGGCGGAGAACGATCCGATATTAAACTCCCCCTGGGTAGACCGATGTCTGTGAGTGATGTGTTGTGGTGAGTGGAAGCTGAGGGTTGTTGCGTTTCTCCTTTGTGAATGGCAATCAGGAGCTGAGGGAAATGCGAAAGCGATTGCAAGAAATGGAGGAAGAGGCGGCACTACTGCGAGAAATGCAGGCCAGGGTTGAGAGGGAGATGAATGCTCAAGGTATGTTCTCGTTCATGGCATGAGAGGTAATGCATGCATCTGCATGTGAGTGCATGCATGTGCATGCGAGAGGAGGGACAATGTATTACGTAGTTTTGGCAACAGAGATTTCTACCGTGAAACAAACAAATAGAATGATATATAGAAGTGATAAAAAGTCAGACCAAGTTTACAAATTTTGAAAAAAAACAAAAAAACTGGTTGCGTTCCAGAAGCGCTGGCGGCACACGTGGACCACTGTGGGGGTGCTGTCAACCGACTCATGTCTAGTTTCAGAATTGAACGACAGTCGTCTGTGACAAGTTGGCCCAAACGATTCGGAGGCATTTTGTGTGTTTGCAGGAAATGAAGTATTCCGCAAGTCAACTGAATTGCACTCGAACGTTATTGTCATTACGTTCCACTTCCGTTTTGTTGTTGTGATCTTTATCTTCCCCTCCCTCCCGCCCCTCCCGCCCCCCCCTTATGTCTCAATGGTTTTTAACCTTCTTCATCCCCCTCCCCTTCCCCTTTTGTGGGCCACGTGTCAACATAGCTATCGGGTTGGAATATAATGATGCATCCGTGTTCATGCTGTCTTAAACTTCTAGTACCTTTGTCGGTTTGGACAATAGTGAGTGGGCCTCCGACCTTTCAGGAGGCGGAAACGAAACGATGGCCGCCGATCAGATTTATCAACGGCCCCGCGGATCAGATTTATCAACGGCAGCCGTTGTCGGGCCCGGCCTCCTAAAACTCCGGGACCACCGTCTTCACCTGAAAATAATGCCCCGGCGTTATATTCAACTTACCCTAAAAAGATGAGATTTCCGTTTTTACTCTTTTATTCCGAATAGAATGCCCCTTCGAATAGAATGCACGGGTGTTATATTCGAATAGAACGCCCGGGCGTTATATTTGAATGTTCCATGGGGACAATGTGTGTTGAAGAGGTAGTATAGATGGGTTTTAAAGGGCGGGGAAGGTGGTATACATGGGTGTTGAAGAGGGTTGAATGGGATTTAAACTTTCAAGGGGTATATTTAAATAATATTTTGGCTTTAGTTTTCGTTTTTATTTTATATTTCGGAGTTTATAAGGAATTCTGAAGTGACCCTCAGCCAAAAGTTGGTCGAATTCCAATCCCGGACAACATATTTTTTTTCAAATTTTTGATTTATTTTTGTTTTTCGGAATTTTGGGGCCTCACGGAAGTTACCACAAATTTGCTGAATATAACGCCCGGGCGTTATAAACGAATATAACCCCCGGCGGGCGGGCGTTATATTCGTACACAACGCCCGGGCGTTATTTTCGGGTGAAGACGGTAGGCTAAAACTTGTCAAAACTGGACGGCAAAGGTACTACCGTCTTCCCCCGAACATAACTAACGCACCCTTGAAATGAATGTATACCAGTTTTATTTCCGGCCAGACACAGCCAAAATGAGGGTGCGTTGTGTTCGGGGGAAGACGGCAGTGGTTTCAACGAGACCCTTCTGTGGTCCTCTGGCCACTTTTCGTCAAGAATGAACTCAGTGTGGCTTCTGGCAGGACTGCAGGAAGCCTCGCACATTCAGAGAACAGCAGCAGCAGGTTAACGAGCACACCTTGCACTCTCCTAGACCTGTGCTTTAATCACATGCCTTTTGTGAACAGTGCAGAAGACTGCTAGTGTATCTGCATAGGCTTCAGATCCAGCATGCCTTGAGAACACTTGCATTAGGGTTTCGACGGATCGTAAGTGAGTTGCTCTGATGATGATTTGCAGGAAAGACTTTGGGGACCTGTTGTTTTTAAGACCTTCTATGATGGTGTGTGTGTTTGTACAGGTGGGGCAGCAGGGGCAGGCTCTGCCGCAAGCAGGGAAGAGTGTGATGCGAGATCGGTGTTCGTTGGAAATGTAAGTAGGATTTTCCTGAAGATGAGCTCATTGCGTGTATAACGCAGGAAACTGGAATTGTGGATGCATAAGTTTTTTTCATCATCGAGAGTATGGTATTGCTCGATGAGTGTTTGTTGGAAATGTAAGTAGGATTTTCCTGAAGAGGAGCTCATTCATTGCATGTATAACGCAGGAACCTGGAATTGTGGATACAGTTTTTTTTCATCACCGGGAGTATGTTTTTTTTTTTTTTTTTTTTTCGGTTGGTTGAAAGTGCCTTCTGCAGCCCTTGGGGGAATAATTTTTGTATTTTTCCTATGCTTGCTGCTGACGTGTTTTACGAGGGCGTCAGGTTACCTCTTGGCTAGCCTATGGAACAGCGCTGACGATGCCATGATCTGCTTGTGGTTGTGGTTTGTTTCCTCCATGTCGATATGTTATATGATATATAAAGTGAACTTAACTGGGATGAAGTTGGAATATCACCTGCAGTATCATTGGTTAGGGGATCTGCGGACAATGGAGGGGGCGGAAAACCAACAAAACAGTCGCAGAAAACAAAACCGCACGTATGCCTACAATGAATAAATTAATTTGTTGTGGTCGGGAATCAAAATGGGAGTACTGCAGGCTTCCTGCCTCTCGAGGATCGACTTTGAGCACAGTCCAGCACTGCGGTCAGGGCTTCCTGTCTTCCTCCAGAGGCCTGTCTAAATTTATTATTTAAACTGTGGGTCGCCACCTCACCGCTGCCATTCATTGCGTTTGCGTGGGGAACTGTAAAGTACTCCCATACCACAGTTTAAATGCAGCGGCGAGGTGGCGATCCACAGTTTAAATACTAAATTGCTGGGGTCCGTTCTTCAATTCAGCACACTGAGGAAGCAAATGGACCGTCCGATTCTCGATTCTGCTCTTCTGCCTAGGCGACTTTTTTGTGACAGTGTGTGTGTGTGTGTGTGCGTGCGTGCGTGCGTGTGTGTGTGCGTGTGCGTGTGTGTGTGTGTGTGTTGTAAGACCTGTATCAGACTGGGTTCATAATGCCGAAGAGCAGTGTCGCTGAGTTTGTCTGCTTCGTTCTGGCTTGATATTATTGGCAAGCCAAGGTGAAGTGGTAGCAAGGAGTGCTGCATGGTACACCATTGTCATAACCTCAGCATGCCGCGGTGAATATGTACTCAGGCCTTGTACACACCGCCCGTCACGCCATGGGAATTTCTTTTGCCCGAAATCGTCTCTATGATAAACCAATGACTTTGATACGTTACGCATTATGTGTTGCAGCGAGTGTGTCACTGAGTTTGTCTGCGTCGTTCTGGCTTGATGGTATTGGCGAGCCAAGGTGAAGTGGTAGCAAGCAGTGCTGCATGGTACACCATTGTCATAACCTCATAAGATGATCTTATCCGTTGCAGCGAGTTGCCACTGTGTGCCTCAAAGACTACGTATTTTTCTCTATAAAGTAACTCTCTCCCAATTATGTGCGATCTCAACTCCTCAGGACTGCCGGTTCAGTATTCAGAGCGTGATTCTACTGAGCAACCTACGGAATTGTGATATCGAAGGAGCCACCAATTCTTAGCCATGAAGAACTTTATGGCACCAGACTCTCTTTATTATTATTCTTATTCTTATTAGATTATTACTAGATTTGATTCTATTTATAAATAGATTCTCTTATTCTTCTTATTCTTCTATTTTGTTATTATACACAGCCTCCTGATGAGTTGGTGAAACTCCGACGAAACAGTTTGCCACAGCCCCTCGTTTGTTGTCCTCTTTTCCCTTTTGTCCCCCTCTGCCTACGGTTTACCGGGCAGCTCTGTTTGACTATATATATGTTATTTACTAACAAGTATTTATATGTTTATTCTTAAGTAGGCCCAGTATTGCATTCGGAAAGTGAGTCGATGATTCCAGTATCCAAGGGGCCACCAATTCTTAGCCATTGAGCGAGTCGATGATTCCAGCACACACACACACACACACGAAGTCAGTGGTCAGATAAGTACTACTACTACGGTCTTGGATCCCTTTGTGAGTGTGCATGGATTTGGGCCAGCACCCTTGGCCCAAAGAGCCAAGCATCGTAGCCACGACAGCCATGACGCTGTGTGCAAGAGCAGAACAATACTGGCCGTGATATCCACCACACTTACATGAGCAGCAAGATGCATGAAGTGGTTCAGCTGCTCCAGCAAACCCCCCTCCACGTATGGCGCATGTCATCTTAAACTACTCTGTCATCTGAAGTGCCTTCTATGCCTATCGTCATCCTCTCAGGCGTCGCGGGGAAGCTGGGGGCTTCAAAAGCAGTTGATATGTGAACCTCGACCCTTAGGGTGACCTACCTCTGTGGCTTTGTATGGCTTTCTCGAAGCGTCATTTCAATGCCGTTTTTCTTACAATTTTGCCCTTCATTTATGCGATGTCTTGCAGGTTGACTATGCATGTACACCTGAGGAAGTCCAACAACATTTCCAGTCTTGCGGAACTGTCAATCGAGTGACCATTCTGACCGATAAATTTGGTCAGCCAAAAGGGTGAGTTATTCTTCTCATCAGTAGAGTCGATCCTTTTCCCTCTCCCCCCCACCCCCCCCTCTTTTCCGCCTTTCACCACCCCAGCAAGACACCAAGAGCTGCAAGAATCGTGGCCAACTGTGTGTCTTTTCATGTCCAAGATTACGATTGGCATTTTTAATTCAGATCCTGTCAAGCTGGGTGTAGGTTAGTTTTGTAAGATGAAAATGAGCATGCCGCCGTGTCCACGCACATCTTCAAAATTCGAGCGGCATAGTCCCGAGGCATGTTTCTCTTACCGAAGCATATCTTTGATTTGATCATAGTTCTTCCGCTGGCTATCGAAGTTCCTCAATATTGGTGGACTCCACGACAAGGGTGCAGATCGTACTTGCCTCCTTTTCTTCTTTGTCTAAGGTAAACTTCGTGCTCTCTGTTCGCTTGCGGAACCATAAAGATCAACCTACCCGTGCGCCAAATTCTGCCGCTGTGGTGCTCTCCTGCACTCCAAGCTGAGATGTTGCTGTGTGAACCACCGTCATCATCTTATATGGCGTTCGTCAGTTATTCTGTGTGTTGATTCATCGCAGTCTCTGCAGCAGTCGGCGCTATTGCTGGGCATGATTCCCCATCTGCCTATTTCCAGGGGGTTGTCAGCCTATATAGGTCAAACACCTATTCGATCACCGAAGTGTGTCATTGGATCCTGGCATCACTGAATAAAACTTGGGGATCCCATGTACTCTCACAATTCTCCACCTACCTAAGATTCAATGCACCTCCTCTGGAGGCATGTTTCCAGGTCACCTGAGATTTGAGCACGATGATGATGCCCGGTCACACCCACCTTCACTAATTGGCTCCTCTGCGTCTTTTTGTAAATCAAGGCCCTCTATCAGTGGGAAGAAGCTTGGGCAGCATACATGTCTGGCAGCATCCAGCCTCGATACCTAGCTCCTCCTCAGCATGAAGCAAGGGTCGAAGCTTATCATGGCTGCAGAGAACCATAGGAGCCTGTCGCTCCCGTCTCGAACATCAAGACATTGGGTTGTGGAGCTGACACTAAAATGACCTTATGATCTTTTTATCCATAGTCTTCCCTGGAGATGTGCATGTATGGGCATTGTCCATCATCCCTTCCACCAGGCTCGTGCACCCATCCTGTCTGTTGAGTCGGTTGAGGGTGTGGAAGTAGAGGGGACCTGTGAAATAGGAATCTGTGCCCTGCTCCGGAAGTAGAAATCTGCACCCTGCTCCTTCACCCCCTCCCTCTTCCTTCCTTGCTCCCACGTTCAGGCCTCATGACTCCATACCAGTGGTAAACACTTTGTGTACATGGCAACCACCCCTCGAGCGGCCCCCTTTCTCCATGCTGGCTATACAGAAGCACTCTCTCTCTCTCTCTCTCTCTCTCTCTCTCTTCCTCTTCCTCCTCCTTCCCTTACCCCTCCTTCCCT